CACAGCCCCAACTACTCTCCCCCACAGGAGGAGACTGAAGCCCATAGATGAAAGCATGGTGCAGGGGCCAGAGCCTGGTGTGGCCACAAGCTCCCTGGGTGACTTTCCTGGGCTGTTTTCTGCTCTGGGCCTCAGTTTTCACATCTGTAAGTGAGGAGGATTATTTGTAAGTGAATGAAGAATGTGTTAATGCTCTAATATCAGGGAATGAGGAGACTTGCCCGGTGGTCCAGTGGCTAAGACTTTGTGATCCCAATGCAGGGGGGCCTGGGTTCGATCTCTGGTCAGGGAACTAGATCCCGCATGCCACAACTAAGACCTGGTATGGCCAAATAAATAAATATGAAAGTAAAATAAAATCAGGGCATGGGGTTGTAAGGGGCTCAGGGGCAGTGTCATCTCCTCTCAGAGGCCCCAAGCTAGCTGCCAGAATAGAATTTTTGCTCTGTGCTGCCCTGACAATTCACATCACTCCTTGATGCTTCAATGTCCTCATCTACCAAGTGGGGATAATATTAGCACCTCCTTACAGGATGGTTTTGAAGTTTAAATGAAGTAGCACATGTAGCCCAATAGTGGGAATGTAATAAACTCTCCATAAATTATCATTGGGACTTCCCTGGTGACCCAGTAGTTAGGAGTCCCAGCTTGGTTCAATCCCTGGTCGAGAAACTAAGATCCTATATGCTGTGTGGTGTGGCCAATAAACAAAATTTTTAAAATAAATTATTATTATTAATCATTATAGTTAAACTTAAATCCCTTGATGGCATCACTATCATTTTATAATCCTCACAGTCTCTAGCAATGTCTGGCACTATGCGTGAGTGCTCAGTTGCTCTGACTCTGTAGCCCTCCAGGCTCCTCTGGCCATGGAATTTTCCAGGCAAGAACACTGGAGTGGGTTGCCATTTCCTTCTCCAGGGGATCTTCCTGATCCGGAATTGAACCCTCATCTCCTGCATTGCAGGTGGACCTTCCACCACTGAGCCAACAGAACCCCAAGGGCATGGGAATCCAGCTTTGGCCTCCACGCAATTCTCTTTCTTGCCTTGTTGGAGCCCAAGCACCAAGAAGACTCCAGAGCCTAGGCAAAGGATGCAGGGTGCCTCTGGAGGAAACTCAGGGTGCAAAGGAGGACTAGGTCAGTCCCTTCCTGAATAGCCCCGCACAATCCTTTAACCTGGGTCAGAGCAGCTTCAACCCCAGACTCAAGTCTGGCTACCAACATGAAGCAATGCCCAAGGCAGATTCCAAGTTTAGGCTAAGCTGACCTTGAGGAGAAGAAGGGGACGACAGAGGATGAGATGGTTGGATGGCATCACTGACTCAATGGACATGAGTTTGAGTAAACTCCGGGAGTTGGTGATGGACAGGCAGGCCTGACTCACTGCAGTCCATGGGGTCACAAAGAGTCAGACACGACTGAGCAACTGAAATGAACTGAACTGACCTTGAGGAGAACACCGAGCCCTCAGAGTGTTTACTAAACAAACACTACTCCGAGTGTGTGTTAGCTGCTCAGTCGTGTCCGACTCTGTGGACAGACACGGGCTACCCTGTGAACTGTAGCACACCAGGTTCCTCATGGAAATCTTAGGCAAGAACACTGGAGTGGGCTGCCATTCCCTTCTCCAATGCTGCCCTGAGTAGGGCAGCCAAATTTAACCCAGCTTTATCGCCACGCAATTATGTTTTCAAGGTGCTCCATTCTGTGCCATGCGTTCCTTTATCTGGAGGCAGGAAACAGTAATACACACTTACAGTCTGAGGGGCAGCAGAAAACGTTCCCATTGCTACCATCAGTTATTATCTCTGTAAGCTCTAGCACAACAAGATACTGAGGGAGAAAACTGGGTCAGAAGACAGGAGATTGGGGCCCTCTGGATACACACTTTCCCTGCCCTCTCTCCCTGCCCTCTCTCAAATACTGCAGCCACATGGAAACTCATGGGGAACAGTTGGGGCTTTTTATAATTTTATTTGTTAACAGTTGGGGCTATTTTTTATGTGTGTGCTGCAATGCCTCATGAAAAAGTTGTGAAAAAAAACAAGCCTATTTTGGGGTGATCAGCCTCCTCAGAGCTTCTCACTTGCAGCTCCACAGGTTCCAAGAATGGGACTGCCCTCTCTCAGAAGTACTGTAGCTTGGCTAAAGTGTGGGATTCTGGGCCCAGATGCACTGACTAGGGGATGCATTTTTATATGTGTGTGTGTGTGTGCGCGTGCTAAATCTCTTCAGTCATGTCCGACTCTTTGCAACACTATGGACTGCAGCTTACCAGGCTCCTCTGTCCATGGGGATTCTCCAGGCAAGAATACTGGAGTGGGTTGCGATTTCCTCCTCCAGGGGACCTTCCTGACTCAGGGATCAAACCTGTGTCTCTTATGTCTCATGCACTGGCAGGCAGCTTCTTTACCACTAATGCCACATGGTAAGCCCCGTATTTATATTTACATGCATATGTTTATATATTTATTTTTGGCTGCGGTGGGTTTCATCCTTGCAGGATGCAGGATCTTTCATTGTGATGCTCAGGTTCCACAGTATATGGGCTCAGTAGCTGCCCCATGGCACATGGGATCCTAATTCCCTGAGCAAGGATTGAACATGCATCCCCTGCATTGGAAGGTGGATTCTTAACCACTGGACCATCAAGGCAGTCCATAGGGGATGCAACTTTGTACACTTCTTGTCACTTTTTTGCCTAGGAAGCAGGGCAGAAGTAACACCATCTAGTTTCCTTCTGCTTCTGGCTGTTCTAGTAGTGACTTCCAGTACACTCTCCTGAGAAATGAACATCCCAGGAGACTTGAGGTAGATCACGGCATTCATGCTGACGGTCCTTGTAGCTCTTTAAAAACTTAAGCCTATGAGTGTTCAAGTTTCCCTACTGAATGAAGAGCCATTTCAAAGCTGCAGTATATGTTTTATGGTGGCCTCAGCCAGCTGTGGTTGCCCAGGAGGCAGGATCCAGGTAGGGGGCTTGGGTGGATGGGCAGAGAGGTCTGCATGCTCAGATGTCCACCAACAACACTGTAGCCTAGCCTGACCCAGATGGGAGGGGACTGCAGTTCCTGCTGGAAGCAGCCCTGCCACCCCACAGTGTGGCTATAAGAAAGCTGCAAACGCTGGCTGGGCTTGGAGGATCTCAGGCAGAATTCACTGCTCACCTGCTTTGTTCATTTTCTCTTGATCTTCCTGCGCATCCCCCCAATCCCCACTTCCCCCAACTCCCATGGGCCACCAGGCACTGAGCTAAGGTAGGCCTGAAATTTTCCAACCCTGGTAGGTCAGATTGTCAGAATTCCAGTCCCCAACCCCAACCCCGCCACCCCCGCCCATCCAAACGTCATGCTCCTGTGCTGTCTGCACTCTGCAGGCAGCCCGGGGCATATCGGTGCACGTGGGACTGCTTCTCCTTCCCAGCATAGGGCCATGGTGGGGAGCAGGCAGAAGTGGAGGAAGAGTTAGAGGGGTCACACAGTCTCTGATCTCAGCCCGGGAAGATGAAAGCATCTAGCCACCCCTTGACTTTGGGCAAGAAATACTGTTGTCCTCGATGGGAGATCAGAGAGATGATGTTCCTTGCTCAAAGTCACACAGCCATGATGGAGGGGCTGCTAGAACTGAATTCAGCTCCTCCTCTGTTTTGTTTTCATTCACTCTGGGCTCTTGGGGCTGCTGTGGTCCACATCTCTGCCCTCAGTGGGCTTTGTGTGGGGGGTCCTCCTTCTCCCTTGGCTTCCTTCTGTCTTCCCCCTACCCCTGGGGAATGGTCCCAGAGATGCCCTTCCATTATCCTTTAAAGACACAGCACCACCTGCTTCCAGAGGTCTTTGGCTGGCCTCTCCAAACCACCTCCTCCCCACCCCCGACTTTTTTCTTTTCTTTTTAAAACTTTTAACTTATTTATTTATTTTTGGCTGTGTTGGGTCTTCATTGCTTTTGCATGGGCGTTCTCCAGTTGTGGCGAGCAGGGCTACTCTAGTTGTGGAGCATGGGCTTCTCACTGCAGCAGCTTCTCTTGTTGCTGAGCACCAGCTCTAGGGTGCTCAGGCTTCAGTAGCTGGTGGCTCCTGGGCTCCAGAGCACAGGCTCAATAGTTGTGGTGCATGGGCTTAGTTGCCCTGCAGCATGTGAGATCCGCCCAGACCAGGGATTGAATCCATGTCTCCTGCATTGGCAGGCAGATCCTTTACTGCTGAGCCACCTGGGAAGCCCTCCAAGCCCTTTTCTCAATCATTCCCTGTTTCTCCAGAAGTTCTCAAATTTTCTTGGCGGAACTGGCCCCCAAATGATGACAGCTCATTTAAAGGAAGCTGCAAGTGGGGATGATGGCACAATGGGGTTCTCTCTCTGCCTCTTACCCTGTGTCTAATCCCTCTGCCCTCCTCTCCAAAAAGCTTCCTTCCGCACTCGGCCTTGGCAGCCATCAGCTGCTATTTTACTGAGTCCCAATTTGGGTCAGGAGCTGCTCCAGTGAAAAGAACAGCTAATAAAATATAGGCCGTCCATGCTAGGAACTCATATCAGATGTAAGTACTGGAATGAGTGTCGAAGGTCACCTGAGCCAACCCCTGTACAAGAGGAAGCTGAATCTCAGAGAGGTCCGGGAATTGTCTGTCACACAGCTGCGTAAGAACAGATTCCAAGCCTCCTGATGGCCAATGGATCCCTCTTTCCAAATTACCAAACTAGAATGTGCAGATGCCCACAGCATGGGATGGCCCCTGACCCCAGTACTTGCCCTGCAAGTAGCCCCTTGACTCTGAGATGGCCTCTCTCTTGGCCCTTGTGCTGAGTGTCTCAGCCTATTGGGCTTGGGCAGCAGAAGCCATGCCGTGACCCTGAGAAGGACCCTCTGTTTGGGCTGACTGACTTGGAGGTGCCTCTTTGCTTTCCTCACTGTGTGCTCATTCCTCTTCCCTCTTTCCCCCTTCCCTGCCCCATTCCCTCCCATTCAGCCCAACTGTGAGCCTGGAGCGAGCACCAAGCAATGGCAGCTGGAAGAAAAGGCCAGTATGACCTGTGGAGGTCCTCGATGGACAGCCTGTGAGTAGCCACTGGGTGATGTCAACTCCTTCCCCATTGTTTTCCTCACCCCAAGCATTTATTTACCTGTCAAGGATTTCTAGAAAGTCTCTTGAGTGTCTGTTGCCTGGTGCTAGATGAGCATGAAGGGTCCTCTTTTGAATAAGCACAGTTAAAGACCCTGATGCTGGGAAAGATTGAGGGCAGGAGAAGGGGGTGACAGAGGGTGAGATGGTTGGATGGCGTCACCAACTCAATGGACATGGGTTTGAGCAGGCTCTGGGGATGGTGATGGACAGGGAAGCCTAGCATGCTGCAGCCCATGGGGTCGCGAAGAGTCGGACACGACTGAGAGGCTGAGCAGCAATCACTTCCCATAAGAGTCCTTAGTGCTGTGAGGGACACAGAGGACCAGTGATACAGCAGGACTGATATTATTAGGGGGGGTCTAGAGGAAGGGTTGGGAATGTAGATTTTGTAGCGGATACTCACTGAAGACTTCCTGGAGGAAGTGACATCAAAGCTGAGACTGGAAGGATGAGTAAGTAATATCCAAACGAAGAGGGCGGAAAGAGAAAGAGTGTTCAGGCTTAGGGAATCCCTTGAGCAAAGGCCTAGAAGATCCCTGTTTCCCAGTGGGGACCTGGAGGTGCCTCCTGAGCCCTGGGCAAGAAGACCGAGAGACTCCAGGCTTCCAGATTCAGCGCCTTCACCCTGCAGGGGCTCTGCATCTTGAGAAGCCTGCTTTTGCTCTCCTACAGGGTGGCAACGCCACAGGCCCACTGCACACGGCTGGGGAGAGAGTCATACTTGTGCTTAGAAGCTTCAGTCGTGTCCGACTCTTTGCAACCCCATGGACTGCAGCCTACCAGGCTCCTCTGTCCATGAGATTTTCCAGGCGAGAGTACTGGAGTGGGCTGCATTTCCTTCTCCAAGAGATCTTCCTAACCCAGGGATCGAACCCAGGTCTCCCACATTGCAGACAGGCGCTTTACCATCTGAGCTACCAGGAAAGCCCCAAGAATACTGGAGTGAGTTGCAATTCCCTTCTCCAGGGGATCTTCCTGACCCAGGTATCAAACCCACCTCTCTTATGTCTCCTGCATTGGGAAGCAGGTTCTTTACCACTAGCTCCACTTGGGAAGCCCAGGGAGAGAGTCATCCCAAGTCAAAAAGTCTGTGAGGTGGGCTTCACAGAGGCTTGAGTGTTCCAGGCGAGGGCTGAAGAGAAGCAAGGCTAGTAGCCTGCAAATAGTTGAAGGGCTGAAGCTGCCTGGGAAGCAAATGGAACATGCAGGCTGGAGAAGGGCACAGTGGGTGGGGTCTGCCTAGCTTGGGCTGGCACTGGGGAGGGACCTTCAGAGCCAAAGGGAGAGGAAGGTTTGGTGGCTGAGAGTCTGCTTTAGGGTGCCTTCCTGAGAAGTGGAGAGTTCTCTCCCCAGACCAGCCTCCTGCTCCTGGGCTTCAGGAAAACAGCAGCACAGAGTGTCCTGGAGGAGGGTGGTTAAGGAGATAGATGGTGGAGGGTGACTCTGGGGGACAAGTTCAAGGGGTTTATGTCATGAGGCAGAAGGAGTCACAAGGGGGCTCTGGTGAGGGAAGAGAGGATGGGGAGGCAGGAAGCTAGAATGGAACCTGCCTCTAAGCTGCTAGCAATCCCTTAGGCTGCAGCCAGGCGCTGTCCCCACAGGATGAGTAAGTCCAGTGATGCAGGTCCTTGCTTGGGCCACCAGCGGAAAGGCAGTGCAGCACCCAGCCAGCCAGTGACATGGGGCAGTCAACAGCCCGTTCTCTAGTGCTCTCAAGAGACAAACAGTGGTTCCAAGCTGCAGGAACTGGGCAGAGGGGATCAGCGTGTATGTGTAACAGAAGAAAGGAAAAGGCAGAGATAAAAAGAGGCCGGGAAGCTTAGCTTCCTGGGAACTTCCCACCCAGGCTTGACTTGAGAAGTACCACTGACCCTTTAACAATAAGAGCTTCAACCATGCAGGGCCACTTAAGGGCAGACTTTTTTCCCCCAATAAATATGTATACAGTTGGGGCTCCCTATTCAAGAGTTTCTGCATCCATGTGCATGCATGCATGCTAAGTCGCTTTAGTCATGTTAGACTCTTTGCAACTGTATGAACTGTAGCCCACCAGGCTCCTCTGTCCATGGAATTCCCCAGGCAAGAACACTGCAGGGAAACCTGAGAACAGGGAGGACCAACTATATTCATTGAACTTCATCATTTTATATAAGAGACTTGAGCATCTGAGAGTTTTACTATTCCAGGGGGGCTCCCAAAACCAATCTTTGGTGGATCCAAAGGAATGATTGTAATCCAAAGTCAGGAAAATGGTCTCTCCAGGTCTAGGGTGGGCGGGATGCAAAGGGAGGTGGAGGGGGAGGTGGCCTGTGTATGAAATGCTGCCAAGGGCTAGGAGCTGGGGCCTGGGACAGGGCTCAAAGTGGGCCACCGACAACTCCTTGGTTGCTGGGGAGGGGACCCAGCCACAGGGAATGGCTCTGTTTTCCAGGATTCTGGCACTGGCAGGCTGGGTGAAGATGAAGCAAACGTGGTAGCCAGATCCTTGGCTTGGGAACCAAAATCTCAAGGCTGTCTTGAGTAGCTGGGAGGTGTGAACTGAGGGCCAGGGTTGGGTGGGAAAATCTGGCATTGGCCACAGTTGAGGCAGAGGCTGAAGGCCAGGACTTGGTAGTGACCTGCCTCTCAAGCTGAGAAGTCTTCAACTGCCCATCAAGAAGCTGGGATCTGGTGCCTCTTTCTCCAAAAAGGGAAAGGGCGTTGGTTCTGTAGCTGCAGGCCCTGTAGCACCCTGACTTTGAGTAGAAGTCAGTTCTGTTTTCCTGCTCTCTGCTGCACGGGGGCTGTCCCTGCTGCCGGGATGTGTGAGACATGAAGCCAACAGGCTGGTGCTCTGAAATGTGTCCTCTGAAAGGGACTAGGGTGTCAGATACCCTGCTTCCCACCCCCCACATGGCACCCATACAGAGATCCCATGCTGTGCTCTTTTGTCATGCAGTGACCTCTGACACAGCACCCTCGATAATCCTTAATCTCTAATCCAGCTCTAAGTGAAAGTCGCTCAGTCGTGTCCGACTCTTTGAGACCCCATGGACTCTACAGTCCATGAAATTCTCCAGGCAAGAATACTGGAGTGGGTAGCCTTTCCCCTCTCCAGGGGATCTTCCCAACCCAGGGACTGAACCCAAGTCTCCCGCATTGCAGGCAGATCCTTTATCAGATAAGCCACAAGGGTAATTCAGCTCTAGGGAGATTCAGAGGAGGGGTAGATTAACGCACTTACTGAACATGGACCAGGCCAGAAAGCAGGAACATCTTGGTGGGCACCTTCTAACTATAAGCATTCACGGATGGGAAGCATGCTTCAGGCAATAAAACATCAATTTTTTCTTTGCCTTTATTTTTGGCAATTATATGTTGCAGAAACTATTATTAAAGCATATTTGCATTTTCAGAGGATAAGTTGGAGGTGTAGTGGAGTGGGATTAAGGGGGATACACGTCAGTCTGGGCTTTTAAAAACTTGTCCAAAGGTAATCCATAAGATGGATAAAACCAGATTGAGTTGACTACTGTAATTACTCACAGTGAAGATCCTCATAATTAAGGATGAGGATCCTTGAACACGGGAAACTTCCTTTGAGGACCACTCATATTACAGATGTCATCCCTTGTAATCTGTTATTTTCCAGAATTTTGAGAAGAGGGCCCAAAGGTGCCATAGATAATGTTACCACGGCTAGTGTCGTCGTGGCATTTAAGAGGGCAGAAGATATGAAGAGGTGAATGCCAGGTGGCAATAGATTGAATATGGGATGGAAGAGGAACCTGCTGGACAAAAGGGAGGGGGGAGAAGGCAGACATGGTAAACAGGTGCGGGTGCTACAGGGACCCACCCTGAAACTCATTAAGGGCCACGGAAATTGGAGACAGAAGTCTGTAGCTGCAGGGGCGGTGATGGAGGGAGGAAGGCCCCCAAACACCAGAAAAAACGTCCCTTTTGGCAGAGGAAACGCTGTCTTCCTCTTCCCTTGGGCAAGCGGTGGAGGTCTGGGGCTAAGGGACAGGCAAAAATGTCAAAATCCCCTTCCCTAACTCGAATCCCTTCCAGGGCTGACTAGCACGCTGTAGGCGTTCTTTCTCAGCCTCCCGGAGGAAGCGGGGGCGGAGGGGGACCCTGAGTGAGTTTAGTGAGGTTTGGAGCTTCGCCAGGTAGAGGGACGCAACCCCGGCCCCCGCAGGGGAGCCTAGAGCCTCTACTCGGCGTCCCTCGGGGTGAAGGCGAGGTAAGCGAAAGTGAAGAGGGAGCCAGCGGCGTCGCGAGGCGGGGCCTCCGGGACGTCCAATCCCCTTCTTTCCCCGCCCTCGCCCCGCCCCCTCAACTGATTTCGACCAACGGGGCGCCGCGAAGGGCGGTACCTGTCACCGCTGGCGTCTGGGTGAGATTTTGCCCCCACCTTTTTCCCCTCCCTCCCTTCTTTTTTTTTTAATCCCCTTTCTCTTTTTTTGTGAATGAAAAAAGGAGGTCGCGAGCGGTCCCTGGGACTGCAGCGCTAGGCGTCTTGGTGGCCGCGCCTCCAGAGCGGGCCCAGACGCGTAGCAGCGGCGGCCTCGCCCTTCTCGCCCACTCCTGCCCGCCGCCTCCGGCCTCCGCAGCTAGAGAGGACCGTTGGCGGCGGCGCGGCCCAGCCGCGGAGGTCTGAGCTGCCGTCCGCTGCCCGGCTTCGGCGCGCCTCCGTGACATTGGGCGCTGGGAGATGCTGATCCGGAAGAGGCAGTGGCCGCAGTGCCGCGCGCGCGGCCGCTCCCGGCCCGCCGTCCGGCCTGGGCTGCTCTGTCAGAGTTTCTGATGTAACGCGACCCGGTCCCGGAGCCTGAGCGGCAGCAGCGCGGCGGCACCGGCATCTTCCTAACTTGCACCCGCGGAGTGACCCCAGCAATTTCACTAAAATGAGCGTGCTTAGCAGGAAGAGATGTGTTCCTTACACTAGAAATCACCCCGTCACATGTAGCGGTGTAAGTAAATGATTAATTTCTATTATGGCCGGGTTGCGAGCAGCCTCTGGAAACGCGCCGCTTCCCCGTTCTGCGTCCTCCCGGGGGCCTTGTCTGCGCCCGTCCTGATTTCCCTCGGGCGTCCTCTCGTCCCTGGACTTGAGCTTCGGCTGCTGGGGTCTTAGCGGGCGGGGGACTAACCTTTTCTGGGTTTATCTAGGGAAGGCAAAAGAACTTGATTGCCATGGCATGCAGTGGCCTTCTCCTTCCCCCATTTAAATAAAAAATAATAATTTTGTATGTGTGTGCAGAACAGCGTGTCAAGAAAAAAAGGTCCAGAGTAGTGGAAATGTTTCCGTTAAAAACCTTTAATGGAATGTGGGGGTTTGTTTGTTTTCGCCATTCTGAATATATTACTTTCAACCCATTCCCTTGCGGTCTGTGCATCTGAGTTCTGGCAAACTACCGGGAGAAATCCTTAGGGTTGTTTGTTGATGTTTGAAGAGGCTTATTCTGTGTTTAGGCTTGCATTTTTGTTTAACATGACTATTCAACATCTTTTTGGGCCTTGCTGCCCATTGGATCTGTGGGGGGATTCATCTCTCTGCTCCGCTCCCCCCCCCACCCCCACCCAGTGTTACAGTGTCAGCGACCCCGGTGGGAGCCTCTTTTAATTGGAAGGCCACCCTCGCTGGTCTTCTCTTCCTCATCCTGTCCATCCTCCTTGATCTTTACCTTCATTTTCAAGATATTCTTCCCTTTTGTATTTTGTAAGATGCAGGATGTGGGATTTGGTTGCTAGGAGACAAAGCAGGCTCCCAGGGAGATTCTGTTGTTTCCTTGACAACCAGACTAGGGCAGCTACAGATGAACAAGCCTCCTATCGGCTGTGGGAGGGAAATGGGGGGCTTTTCTGGGCTCTGCAAAGAGTGTGTGTAGGGGTGTGGAGGTGGAACTGGGAGCCTGTAAGGGTTGTAGCTAATTTGAGCACACGCCTTTTGTTCTGACCTGGCCTGAGTGCAAAGAGCTGGGACGTTGGTGGGCAGGAGGCTGTCTTTGGACAAGGGAACAGGGATTGTGGGATGGGGTGTGAAGGGAGCGTCTCGGTGACTCTGGAATCACTGAGGAAGAGGAGTGGCCTGGGGGTCATGACAGCCAGTGCAAGGTGTCAAGGAAACCATAGTGTATGGAAGTTAATCAGGAGGCTCAGAAGGAATGGGGATGAGGCAATTGTGTGGAAAAGTCTAGAGTCACTGAAGGTGAGAGTGCCAGAAGGAAAGGGGAAGTTGAGAAGCTTATTGAGTGGGCTGTGCCAACGGCTTTACCGTTACTGTAAAGTAGAAATATTCTAGAGCAAAAATTACATTACTGTTGACAATGGCATCATATCTCCAGGACAGGATCCTTCTAAAGACAGGCCTGATTAGACTAAGAGTTCTGCTTGCTTAATTGGCCCAGTGTGTATCTTAAAAGAGAGGTATAATTACACATAGGGATATGTAATCTGGCATTATATAATACCACATTACATAAGAAGGCAAATACCTCCTTTTGGCACAGGCTGTCTTGGCACAGATTCATCAACATTCAAGACTTGCTTCTGATGCCCTCATACCCATTTTCCAGAAGGGTAGATCGTGGCACAGAGAAGTGAAGTGATTTGCCCTTTCCCAGATCAGACAATGAATGAAGTTTGCCAGTCAGGCAGTTGGGATGGGGGTGGACTGGGTGAGAATGATCAAAATTGGGAGGAAGTCAAAGGACAATTAAAAGAAGGCTGCAGGGGTGCTGGGGAAATGGATGGGGAGGGGCCGCTCAGCCAGAGGAGCACCCAACAGGTCTGCTGTCTAAACTCCCAGCACAGTGTCGCTCTTCTGCTTGTTGGTTGGCTGTCCCCTGCTTAACCCTAGAGGTGCATAGGGTGCGTGTGAGTGTTTGAATTGTAGACTCATCAATTTTGGACCAGCACTGAACCACTCTGCTGGTGTCCTGACATCCTGCTCACCATCCAGCTGCTCCTGGGTGTGAGAGCCGATGTGTCTCCTCAATTTCTCATCCCCTCTTCTGTCTACACACCTCCATGCCACTAGGACCTCAATTTAAGAAAGAAGCTCTGTTGGCTAGTAGGTTTCTCTTTTTCTCCTACATCTGTGTATATTTGTATTGTGGATTCTATCTGTTTTGTTCCTCAACTAATAAAACAAATCACAACCCAGATGACTTCCAGAGCCAACACATCCTTCCTGCTGTCTGCCTTGACATGAGGAACTGTCAAAGTGGGGTTCCTGCTTTTCATCAAGAGAGTGAATCTGGGGGGAGGCAAGATGGTGGGCAGAATAATGGTTGCTTGCTGGAGAGGATTAGAAGGGGCGGAGGAAGGAGAAGGAATGAGGACAACGATTGCGCTGGAGGCTAGGGAGGGACCTGCACAGAGACCCCTGGTTGTTTAGATCCTGTAAAATTCCAGAAAAGAGGCAGTGCGTGTCTCATTGGAAAGTCCTGGCTGTACTTTTTGCTAAGGTGGCTGAGATGCATCCACTCGAGCAAAATCCCAGTTGCCATCGTTGCATATTTCAGGTCTGCATTCCTGCATGCTGGCATCTAGTTACAGCCTGCAAGAGCCGAGCTCCTCTGTTGCTGCTGGTGGCCTGGCTCTTGGGCTGGATGGCTCAGCAGTGAGAGCTCCTGGGCAGCCTCCAGGACTCCTCTGGGCTCAGCCTTCCTTGGCCTAGGAAGGAGTCCTTCAAATTGCTGCAACCCCCAGCTGACTTCAGGCACCCAGGGAATGTGAGCAGGGGCAGGTCAGTGACCCTGGTGAAACCAAGCTTGCTAATAACGCCTGCAGTACCCCCACCTTCTCTCTTCAACCCTTCCAGGGGGGAGTGGATGCCAACTGGGAGTCTGTCAGCAAAAACCCCTAAAAGCCCAGGGCCCCCTTCTGGAGATAGCTTTTTAAACACTGATGTGACATTTTGACTACAGAAGGGCCTTCTGTTTGTTCATTTGAGCCATCCCTCTCTGTGGGTGGATGAGCCACTTCCTGTCTACCTAACACAGAAGGAAACTGAGGCAAACATTTGTTCAAAAATTCAGGCCCGAGTTTCTGACTCTCTGCTTTCCCATTACCCGTGCAGCCAATTTAATGAGCATCCTTCCAGGAGTGCTGGTGTCTGAGGGCTTCCAGCCTGAGAATCTTCCTCCCCAGGAAGGAGAACTGTGGAAGGGAGTGTATCTCATTTTCCCTGAAACTGGATGTGGGATACCTGGAGGGCAGGCCTGGGTAGGGGATGGGAGGGCTCACTGGCCCATTAGCCATAGGGTGTGTTGTCCCAGATTTCCCAGGTGGCTCAGCGGTAAAGAGTCCACCTGTCACTGCAGGAGACGTGGGTTGGATCCCTGGGTTGGGAAGATCCCCTGCAACCCACCCCAGTATTCTTGCCTGGAGATGGACTATAGTCCACGGGGTCGCAAAGAACCGGACATGACGGAGTGACCGAGTGCGTGCACACACACGTACTGTGCTAGGCCACTGCTTATCCCCACTCCCACCATCTCAGTACTGAGTGAGCCCCCTAGGCAACAGAATGGTCCCAGGAGCGGAGAGGAGAGGCCTGTGGACTGCTCAGGTGCACCTGGAAGCTGCCTCAGCTTGGAGAATCTGGGACAAAAAACTTCAGCATCTCCGTAAGGGGGCTGGGGTTGAAGGATAGCCACAGGCTATCCTGTGGCCAGTAGGGCCGTTGCCCATTCTGACAAGTCCATTAAATCTTAATTTAATTTTTTCATTTAAATTATTAAGTTTTAATTTAATTTCATCTTAATTTTCTCAGCGGCCCTGCCCTCAGGCATGCTGGGAAGGAGGGGTGGGGACCTGGCCCTGGCTCCCCACATCTCACTGGTTGTTGTTCTGCTGCTGTTCTGCCGTTCAGCCCTGTGGGCTGGAGGAGGAGAGCAGATGATAAACGAGCTTCCTAGGCAGATACCTCTCTTCCCAGGAGAGTGGGGACCGGCCCCAAGCAGACTCCGCCTCGGGATCTCTCTCTGGCGTTCCCCAACCAGAAGGCCTGCTGCTGGAGGATGGAGGCAACAGGAGGCAGACCAGAGATTCACCCAGTGGAGCAGGGCCTCTCAGCCTGAAGCGGCTCCTGTCTCCTCGGGCCCCTGTGGAGCCTGTGCCCGGAAAGCTACCCACTCCCTTGTCTGCCTCTCTGCTCAGATGCTCAGAGAGGGGGCAGCCCCAGCAGAGAAGAGCTGCTGGCCCTGGCCCTCAGGGGCTGGTGTGCGAAGTTGTCTTAACTGCTTCTCTCCTCTCCCTCAGGTCCCAATTAATGGATTCTGACATGGATTATGAAAGGCCAAACGTAGAGACCATCAAGTGCGTGGTGGTGGGGGACAACGCTGTGGGCAAGACCAGGCTTATCTGTGCCCGGGCCTGCAATGCCACCCTCACCCAGTACCAACTGCTCGCCACCCACGTGCCCACAGTTTGGGCCATTGACCAGTATCGGGTATGCCAGGAGGTAAGGCTGCAAGTCTATGGCCTCGCTCATCTGGGCTTCTTCCCCAGGGATCTCTCCAGAGGGGGCCTATGCTGAGCTCATGGAAGCCCCCTAAAGGTTGAGTAGGGGCAGCTGAAGAGCACAGATCCCGGGGAGGGGCCTGAGGGGAGCCCACCCCAGGGGAGGGCTCCCCAGCCCTTTGTATTTGTCTGAGCTGGAGCCTTGTGTAATCATAGCCCCCAGTAATGGGAAGCCCTGGAGCTGGGAAAGGGGTGGTGCTTTGGAGAGATGAGAGCTGCCGGGAGAAAAGAAACTGCTGGTTATGATACCAGAAGACCCAAGGCTGGGAAACATCTGATTGGCAGGTACAGCTGGGAACAAGGATGGGCTCCTTGGGAGACTGCATCACTCCCATGACTGTCTGCCCTCTGGAGTTTCTTCTGTCCTGGCCAGCTCTTGTTAGGGGACTCAGGTGTTCTAGGACACATAGAGGGAGACACTAGCTGTCCCTCCAGCCCCCATGCTGTGGGACCCAGCAGTGAGCTGACCCCACCCCAAGTCAGCATGCAGGGCCCCCAGGAACCATTGCTTTTGCTTCCCTCCCCTCTCCCTGTCCCACCCTGCCCCCTCCCCACCCCCCGCCAGGTGCTGGAACGTTCCCGAGATGTGGTAGATGATGTGAGCGTGTCTCTCCGCCTCTGGGACACCTTCGGAGACCACCACAAAGACCGTCGCTTTGCTTATGGGAGGTAGGGAAGGCCCCTGCTGCCTGCAGGGAGCCAAGTGGATGGGGTGTTTCCTGCTTTCCCCGAGGTATAAGGACACTCTGTGAAACTGGGAGGAAGGAGTGGAGAAAACAGCCCTGGGAGACCCTTGAGGTGAGGGCAGCCTGGGCTGGGCAGGGAGCTGGCTTTGCAGTCGGGAGGCCTGGTTTCAGTTTTACCCCGTTAACCTGTAACACTGGGACTTGAAGCAATTAGGAAGGCTTTTCTGAGATGAGTTTTCTCAGATGAGATGGTAAAAGTGATCATGTCTAAATCACAAGAGAGCTGTGGGTCAATCCAAGAGTCTTTGAAAGCTCTCAAGTGCTAACTTGGGGGTACAGAAATAGGAGGTGCTATGATTAAATGTTTTGGGTAAGATCACATGAGCCGATCCATAAGACAGTTGTGGGACTGCAGTGTAGGGGTGCCGTTGCATATGTGTTCTCCCTTGTTCCAGCAGCAGGGAACCTATCACTAGCTTTCTCTGCCTATAACCTCAGTCTCTCCCACCCCCAGGTCTGATGTGGTGGTTCTGTGCTTCTCCATTGCCAACCCCAACTCCCTCCACCATGTCAAGACCATGTGGTACCCAGAAATCAAGCACTTCTGCCCCCGAGCACCTGTCATCTTGGTGGGCTGCCAGCTGGACCTGCGTTACGCCGACCTGGATGCTGTCAATAGGGCCAGGAGACCCTTGGCTAGGTAGGGAGTCCTGGTGCCTAGGGAGGGGAAGGTGGCAGATGGGGAAGGGGGAGCGGGGGTGGGGGGAAGTTGTGTCTCTCAACTCCCTGCTCAGCCCTGAGAGAATGCACAGAGCCTCACTTCTCTCCCTCCATTTGAAGCAGACTCACATAGGGGCCAGTAAGAATGTTCATTCTTTCATCCATCCATCCATCCATACATTACATACTGAGTGGGCAGTACTGGGCTAAGCATCATGAGGAGAGAAGGAGAGGTAATCTTTGTGTGAAAGGAGCTTGTAATCTTGCTGGGAGATGAACTGGATAGGAGAACGTGTTAAAAACCAGCATGCTAATTGCCAGAGAGGTAGTCAGCCTCCTACTACTTTGAGCCAGGGAGATCACCCAGGCCTACCATAGATAATGGAGGGCTGGGATTAGAAGTGAGCCTTGAAAGAATGGTAGGATCTGGCCAAACAGAGGAGTGGAAATGAGCAGGGCAGGAACGGGGCTTAGACCCAGATCCTCAGCAGGGACTCCCCCAGTCAGGTGAAAAACACACAGGATCGGGGGAATGCATCTCCCACCCCCCACCCCTCCAGCACCAATATGAATTTGGCTTCCCTTCTTGAACGTGCCAGGCCCATCAAGCCCAATGAGATCCTTCCCCCGGAAAAGGGCCGAGAGGTGGCCAAGGAGCTGGGCCTCCCCTACTACGAGACGAGCGTGGTGGCGCAGTTCGGTGTCAAGGATGTCTTCGACAACGCCATCCGGGCAGCGCTCATCTCCCGCCGGCACCTGCAGTTCTGGAAGTCCCACCTCCGCAACGTGCAGCGGCCCCTGCTGCAGGCGCCTTTCCTGCCCCCCAAGCCACCGCCCCCGCTCATCGTGGTGCCCGATCCCCCCTCCAGCAGCGAGGAGTGCCCTGCCCACCTCCTGGAGGACCCGCTGTGTGCAGACGTCATCCTTGTGCTTCAGGAGCGGGTGCGCATCTTCGCCCACAAGATCTACCTCTCCACATCCTCCTCCAAGTTCTACGACCTGTTCCTCATGGACCTGAGTGAGGGGGAGTTGGGGGGACCCTCAGGGTCAGGGGGCCCCCGCTCAGAGGACCACCGGGGTCACCCTGATCAACACCACCATCACCACCACCACCACCATGGCCGGGACTTCTTGCTCCGGGCAGCCAGCTTTGACGTGTGTGAGAGTGTGGAGGAGGGCGGGGGCTCTGGGCCTGTTGGGCTCCGGGCATCCACCAGCGATGGGATCTTACGGGGCAATGGGACAGGGTACCTGCCTGGGCGGGGTCGAGTGCTGTCTTCCTGGAGCCGAGCTTTTGTGAGCATCCAGGAAGAGATGACAGAAGACCCACTGACTTACAAATCCCGGCTGATGGTGGTGGTGAAAATGGACAACTCCATCCAGCCAGGGCCCTTCCGGGCTGTTCTCAAGTACCTATACACAGGGGAGCTAGACGAGAACGAGCGAGACCTCATGCACATCGCCCACATCGCTGAGCTGCTCGAGGTCTTTGATCTGCGCATGATGGTGGCCAACATCCTCAACAACGAGGCCTTCATGAACCAGGAGATCACCAAGGCCTTCCATGTCCGCCGGACCAACCGAGTTAAGGAGTGCTTGGCCAAAGGCACCTTCTCAGGTATGAAACAGGCTTAGGAGCTGGTGTCCCAGAGGCAAGGGAATTCCTTCCAGAGCCTTCTGCAGAATCTGGGTTGGTCCGGGTATCATTCTGAGTCATCTCAGCCACCAATGTCCTGGAGATACTGTGGCTCTGCTCCTGAAACCTAGAGCCCCCAGCCTGAGATTGTGGTCATGTGGTGCTCACAGACTGTGTCTTCAGGAGGAAGCAGTCATCTGGGAGCAGTGTCGACCCATGGGGTTGGTTGTCCCATATTCTTTCACCCCATCCTCATCTGATGCATCTTCTCTCACCTAACAGATGTGACCTTCATCCTGGATGATGGCACCATCAGCGCCCACAAGCCCCTGTTGATTTCTAGCTGTGACTGGATGGCTGCCATGTTTGGGGGGCCATTTGTGGAGAGTTCCACCAGGGAGGTAAGGCTAGGGTGGAAACGGTTGGGAAGGAGTGAGGTTTACTCCCTTTCCATCTGAGGCATCTGTCACTTCACAGTACTTCCTTCAGCCTCGACTCTGTACAAACCAAGTGATGGGCCCAAGAGAAGTTTATGAGATGGTTCCTATAGCCAAGGACTTTGCAATATACCAAGATGGGGAATTATGGTCACATCCTAGCTCTATAGTTTAGAAAAAACTTTTTTCTTAAAGCAGTAAGAACAGATTTTTATTCAGAAACTATTGCAATAGGGGAAAAGAGATCTCAGTATAGAACTGGTTTTAATTCTTAATTGAGCTTGATCAAGTGGAGATTTATAGTCAAGGTGTAGGGTGGGAGTCAGTGGGTAGAAAATTACTAAGAGGAAACATCAGGAGTCAGTGGGAGTTATAGCCAAATCAAGACTTGAGTTCAAGTCTGACCTCCTTTCTACCCTTCTCTGAACTGTGACACTGACTGTCCATCCCTCAGCCTTGTAGTTAACAGTGTCCTCCTTTGTGAATCTACATAAAGTTCCAAGGGTCCACACCCAGTTTTTCCAGCTGATCTGAGGCTTCCCTTGAGTATAGGGATGAGGTCTTTTATTTCTGCTGAGTACCCTTCTCAGCTCTGGTCCCTTAGTCAGTAATCAGCAAACACTTGAATGAAAAGCTGAGCAAAGAATGTTAGAGCATAGCGTCCTGTAACCTGGAGAAGGGATTTCCTAAGATTTCTGGGTCAGGAAGATCCTTTGGAGGAGGGAAGGGCACCCCTTCCCAGTATTCTTACCTGGAGAATCCCATGGACAGAGGAGCCTGGCAGGCTACAGTCCACAGGGTCACACAGAGTTGGACGTGACTGAAGCGACTTAGCGCACACTGGAAAGGGAGTCCTTCTCGGAGGTGAAGGGGAGAGTTTGAGATTTGAGTTGTCTCTGCTCCCTGAAGCATGAGTGGGTTGAGATGTGCAAAGTGTGAGATGGGAACTCTCCAGAGCCACAGAAGCAGCTGTAAAGTTCCAGCCAATTCCCAGTGCAGCCTGGAGAGGCTGGCAGCTGATGAGAAATCAGTTTTCGTCTTGGTCCTGCTCTGGAGAGATCCCAGAGGCCCAGAGCTGTAGCTTGGAGCAGCCCAGGGAGACCAGCTGGTGTTCGCTCCGTTCATCCACATCCCACTTGCACTGCTCCCCGAAGGATAGAGTGGGGCCGGGTGCAGGTGACTGGAAGGACTCCTTCATGCTTCCTCCAAACCAGAAGGATGCTAACGCGAGTCCAGGTCCTTTTAAAAGCAGGTCCAGGGACCGCAGAGGGGTGGCAGCCTGTCTACAGGAGACCAACTGTCCAGGCCAGAGCCTTCTGAGTTTTCAGAACTGCTGCGCTCTCCCTAAAGCCGGACCCTGCTGCAGCCCCCTCCATTGCTTCCCACCCACAGGTGGTGTTTCCTTACACAAGCAAGAGCTGCATGCGGGCCGTGCTGGAGTACCTGTACACCGGCATGTTCACCCCCAGCCCCGACCTGGACGACATGAAACTCATCATCCTGGCCAACCGCCTCTGCCTGCCGCACTTGGTCGCCCTCACAGGTAGCTAAGCCCAGGGGAGGGACCTCCAGGGAGGAGGAGGAGTCAGGGGACCCCCTGGGAGTCGTGATTTCTTCTCTCACCTGTCTCCTCCTAGGGGACAGGCCGCCAGCACCAAGGGGATACGTTTACATAGCGTGAGATATGTCGGTGCGTATTGGGGTTGCGGTGAGGATGTGGATGTAAAGAACTGTCTGAGAGGGATGCTCGGTGGGTTCACCTTATAGGTCTCTCTAGAGGTTATTGCGGCGCAGTAAGTGGGCAGTAGATGCCAGGGCTCGAGGTTCTCAGCTTGGCCACACTCAGGCAAGCTTAAGAAATCAAAAAGAACAGAACACCATTCCTCATTCCTACCCTTGCATCTCCTCCTTCTTCCTTTCCTTTTTCTTCCCCTTTCTCATTTCCTTCTCTTCCATCTTCACTTTCTCTTTCTTCTTCTAGAAACACAGTAAACATTGACCTAATTGTTGGTCAGTCCTAATTCTTTGATTCCTGGAAGATCCTGCGAGCTAGAGCTCAGGTTTCAGGATGGACCAACCCTAGAGGCTTGGGTGGAGCAGGGACTGGGACAGGAGGGAGACCAAGGAGCAGCACTTGGGGTCCCAGGGCAGGAGGAGAGATGGTGCAGTCCAGATGAGAAGTCATCTGGAGCCCGTGGTACCCGCCAACAGGTGGCGCTCCTGAGCTGGAGTCAGCATGTGCGTTCCATTGATGTTGGCGTTGGTACCTGTACTGGCATTGATGTCCAGGTAAATGTCCTTGTGTGGCTCGGCGGCAGAGAGCAAAACCTCAGATACTGAGTTGAGGTTCAGGGAAGGACCTGGTGTTAGAGCTGCTGTGGCCCTCGGCAGATGATCAAGATTGGGACTTCGCTGTGAGGGAAGCAGTGATCCTATGATGAGAAATGAGTTGAAAGGTGGGGCTTGGTCCCTGAAAGAAGGCGGAAATGATTGACCAGAATCACATGTTAAGAGCTGAGCCTGCACAGGCAGGCCAGGGGACAGAGAGGGCTTTAGGGCAGGGAGTAAGAGGCTTCTAAAGATTTCAACTGCAGAATTCCCTGGTGTTAAAGTGGTTAAGGCTGCACTTCCACTGCAGGGGGCATGGGTTCGATCCCTGGTCAGGGAACTAAGATCCCACGTACTGAGCAGTGTGACCAATAAATAAATAAAAAATAAATAAGATCACAGCTGCAACAATTTGAAAAAGTGGTGCAGCATTCCCAGAACACAGACAACAGTACAAACTCTTAGACTAAATAACTTTTGAAAGACTTGCTACAAAGAAATGGCCCAAGTGAAGAAAAAATGTATTTAGGTGTTTCTTTAAGTTTGTTTCATCATAGCAAGCAATCAGAAACAAGTCAAACAGGCACACTGGTTAAGCACACATGGATGGATTTTGCAAGGTAGCCATTAAAAATGTTACCTCTCACTGCTGCATGGGAAGGCTTATAGAGAATAATATTGAAGGACCTTTCCTGTGAAATGCTTCATACTCGCTAAAAAACACATTTAAAAAATGTTTCTATGTACCTTGTCAAGGAACAGTGGAAAATGCCAAGTGTGATATAATAAGTGACATGTTTTGTGATATAAGCTTACTATGAAGTTATTAATTTAAGCTTAATTTTTAAAATGTTAAATATCACACAAAAACATGTAATAGGTATTCATCTTAATAAATTATTACAAACCTAAGTGGCCCTTGCTTGCCACACCAGAGCCCCCAGGCTGTCCCTCTCAACCATAGGCCCTCCCCACCCCAAAACTAACCATTCTGCCTGTTGCTCTAAGATATTATTTATGATCTCTCTTCCTTACTCTTCTTCATAGTTTTATCACCCAAGTGTACATCCTGAAACACTATAGCATGATTTTATTTTTTATATATCTTTTAAGGTTTTTTTAATCTGTAAGTACCTTGTCTGTTTAAAAAAAAAAAGAAAAACTTTTGATTTGTTGGAAAAACCCTCTGATCTAGCGAACCGAGATTTTTTTCACTGATTGCCTTTCTGTAGTACACCATGTTTCCTTCCTATCAACTGGCCTTCAGGTCTAGAGGCTAGATTAGATCTAGTCTTCTTTTGGTGAGACTTCATTTTATAGGTTGTTTCTGCTTTTCATCAAGAAAGCATAGATCATCTGTTTTTCTCTCTTTTTGTGGTGTTAGCAGCCATTGAGTTTTATTGCCTGGATCCGTTCATTTATTAAGTGTTGTGAAATGGTAGTATTCCAGTTCGGTCTTTTTTTTTTTTTTTTTAATCTGTTGGAATACTTTCAAAAGGAGAGAAACTTTCCCTCATCTATGGTTTGTTTTCCCAGTAGAATAGTTCATGTAGGAAAGGCAGGTGAATATGTATTTTAATTTACCAGTTGTTTTTCTTTTCTCTTATATTTATGTACTTATTTGGCTGCAATGGAGTCTTAGTGGTGGCATGAAGGATCTTTAGTTGCGGCATGTGGGATCTAGCTCCCTTACCAGGAGTTGAACCTGGGTCCCCTGCATTGGGACTGCAGAGTTTTAGCCACTGGACCACCAGGGAAGTCCCAGTTTACCAGTTCTCAAGATACACATTTGTTTCCTATCATCCTTGGAGAGTGACCAGTTGGTTTTTTGTTATAAATATTACATGTGATTATGAATTCTTGGACTTGAACATACCCTTGGTTTTTAGTTCAGTTCAGTTGCTCAGTCGTGTCTGACTCTTTGCGACCGCATGGACTGCAGCATGCCAGGCATCCCTGCCCATCACCAACTCCTGGAGCCTACTCAAACTCATGTCCATTGAGTCGGTGATGCCATCCAACCATCTCATCCTCTGTCGTCCCCTTCTCCTCCCGCCTTCAATCTTTCCCAGCATCAGGATCTTTTCAAAGGAGTTGATTCTTCACATCAAGTGGCCAAAGTATTGGAATCTCAGCTTCAGCATCCATCTTTCCAATGAATATTCAGGACTTATTTCCTTTAGGATGGACTGGTTTGATCTCCTTGCAGTCCAAGGGACTCTCAAGAGTCTTTTCCAACACCACAGTGTTGGAAGCATCAATTCTTTGGCACTCAGCCTTCTTTATAGTCCAACTCTCACATCCATACACAACTACTGGAAAAACCATAGCTTTGACTAGATGGACCTTTGTTGGTAAAGTAGTGTCTCTGCTTTTTAATATGCTGTCTAGGTTGGTCATAGCTTTTCTTCCAAGGAGCAAGCATCTTTTAATTTCATGGCTTCAGTCACCATCTGCAGTGATTTTGGAGCACCCCCAAATAAAGTCTCTCAGTATTTCCATTGTTTCCCCATCTATTTGCCATGAAGTGATGGGACTGGATGCCATGATCTTAGTTTTCTGAATGTTGAGTTTTAAGCCAACTTTCCCCTCTCCTCTTTCACTTTCATCAAGACGTTCTTTAGTTCTTCACTTTCTGCCATAAGGGTGGTGTCCTCTGCATATCTGAGGTTATTGATGTTTCTCCCGGCAATCTTGATTCCAGCTATCGGTTTTAAATAATTGTAATTAACTTTATGGAAACTCAGATACTCCACTGTTCCTTTAGCCTGTAGAAGTCTCTTCAAGTTGGCTGCAGAGTCTCTAGAGGAGCTTTCTGATGGTCTGGAATGACAAGATGTTCCAGGTTCATCTTGTACATTTCCTGCCCCATACCTGGAATCAGCCATTTCTCTAAGAAGTCTTGGCTTCCTGTAGTTGGAAATGGGATTTCAAGGCTACAATATTTGCATTAGCACTGCTTTTGCTGTTGGGATGGCTGTTGTTTCTAGGTCTTTTTCCATGGACTGAGCTGAGATATATTACTTTTAAAGATAAAATGCTTTATCAGTTTATACTGATACAGTTAAAATTCAGAACTAAAAGTGTTTACTTCTTCCCTAGAAATGTCTTAACATGAAATGCAAAGTTATTACACAATTTGTTACAAAATTTAAATTAATATAAACAACTTGATTTAATCCTTATTTCTGATTGATAGTTCTCAGCAAATTTGAGATTTACTATCCTCTCCCATCAGTATCAGTGGCTGATTCTCAGGGTGGGGGCTTTCACCCAACCTGTATAAGTCCTTGCTGCAACATAAGTAGCTTAGAAAACCTTCATAGGTTATTCTAGTCTCCTCCTTCAGTTCCCGCCTCCACTCCAGTGGGAAAGTCTTGCTCTAATCCTGGCTTCCTTACTGGTGGGAGGAGACTTAAATCTCCTGTGGCCTCTCCTCGTCTGTTGGGACCCCTCTTCGCCCTGCTGTGGGCCCCTGCTGGGGTGGGGGGATAAGCGAGGGCCTGTCCACTCCCGTGGCTCTTCAGCCCATGCCTGGTTATCTGTGTCACAGAGCAGTACACGGTGACTGGGCTCATGGAAGCCACTCAGATGATGGTGGACATCGATGGGGACGTCCTCGTGTTCCTGGAGCTAGCTCAGGTAGGATGACAGGGAAGGAATCTCTCCAACATTCTCAACTCCGGGCTCTGTCTGCCTGTTGGCAGCAAATGGCGAGGGTTCGGGAGGTGGTGGGTAGGAAGGGAACCCATTGACAGACTTGGTTCCCCCAGCGGGCAGACCCATCTTATCCTCCAGGCCAGAGGATTCACCCCGATATGCCAAGAGGAGAGGCTGGCTGTGGCAGGAAGGGATGGAGACTTCAGGCAACCATTGGGCAGGGGAGGGAAACCCAGAGTCCTGTATAGATGCGGTTGCTGCCTGCTGAGGTCATTTACGGCACATTGGGCACTCTCCATCTAAGATGAACTTCCCACCTCCATTTTCCCAAGTGATAGTGTTAGTTGCTCAGTCATGTCTGGCTCTCTGCAACCCCATGCACTATAGCCTGCCAGGCTCTTCTGTCTATGGGATTCTCCAGGCAAGAATACTGAAGTGGGTTGCCATTTCCTCCTCAAAGGGATCCTGCTGACCCAGGGACTGAACCCAGGTGTCCTGCATTGGCGGGCAGATTCTTTACTGTCTGAGCCACCCAAAGCAGGGAAGCAAAATCTCCCCTACCAGCTCACAGGGTGCCACAAATTCTAAAGATTAGTTTATGAAATTAAAATATGGCAGACACGCCTGGGAGGTCAGCTCTCTAAGCCTGGCTGTCAGCACCTTAGTGCAGGCTGCTTTGGTCCAGCATGGAGGACGAGGGGTCAGATCTGAGGAGGGCAGACCCAGGAAGAGGCTACCGCATAGGACTGTGGGTTTCTGGGGCTGCTGGCGGCAGGTCACGGGTGAGGTGGTGGTGGTGATGGTGCCAAGGAGGAAATCCATGTCATTCCGTCATGGTTTTGTGTGGCCTTGCCTCTTGAGGTGGGTTCTTTGTGATTCAGGGCCTTTGCCCACCTGCACCAAAGCTCTGACTCTGAAGGCAAAAGTAGACATCTGTGTGCAGACCTTGGCCCAGGGGTCCCAGCACAGACATGCTCCTGTCTGTTCCCAGTTCCACTGTGCGTACCAGTTGGCTGACTGGTGTCTTCACCACATCTGCACCAACTACAACAATGTGTGTCGCAAGTTCCCCCGAGACATGAAGGCCATGTCCCCAGGTGAGCATCCCCGGTGGCATTTGTCGCCTCCCTCTCCTTGGGTCCAAACCTCTGACCTGACCCCAAGGCGCCCAGAGGCTGCCAAAGACCCCTGTGGGTGGGGAGTAGCATGCAAACATGCACCCAGCCCAGCGGAGGGGGTCCTGGAAAAAGCTTTGGTGTGGAGGGCGGCCCCCCCGCCCAGGCCCGCCAGAGACCTTGGGCAATTCATTCTGCCCCTCTGAGCTTCTGCTTTTCACAGGTACAGTCAGACTAGAGGTGGTATTTTTTAGATGTTTGTGGACCAAACTCCACAATAAGAAATACATTTTTGTTTGTTAATTTTTACAATGTTGGTTGGTTTCTGCCAAACAACAATGCAAATCAGCCATAATTATACATCCCTCCCTCTTGAGCCTCCCTCTCATCCCCACACCCCACCCCTCTAGGTTATCAAGAATTACATTTTATCTTGTGACCTAGTACACGTATTGAAAAATACATCAGTTGTCTTTAATACTATTCATGACTCATGACATTAATTTCATAACCTAGGAATGGGCACAAGTCACAGCTTGAACAACACAGATCTGGGTATCCTCTGGTGTCCCTGCAGCTTGGTCCCTGCTTAATTGATGTCTCAGGTCCCGGGGCCTGACAGGAATCCAGGGATCCAGGATTCATGGGATCCAGGGAGAGGTGTGGCTGGCCTCCCCCAGTTCCTGCCACTCTGTCTTGAGGTCTTCACTGGGCACTGTCTGCTTTGCTGTGACCCTTCTCCCCACTAGTGTTCTACCAGTTCTCCCACTCCTGCTCTCTACTCGTCACCCTTCTGGCATTTTCTTTCTAAAGCACAGCTCTTATTGCATCACTTCCCAACTTCCATGGAGCCCCCACACCTTCTAGAATAAGTCCAAATCCCTCAGCCTAGCCTTCCCTCCCATCTGACCTCCTGCATACCCCCACCCCCTGTACCTCCCCTCTCAGAACCTCAGCTCTGCCAGCTGCATCTGCTGTCACCCCAGCCAGGCCAAGCATCTTCTTGCCCACAGCTCTTCTCGCCATTTCTCCCTCATCCCTTGCCTCAGCCTGCTTTATTCTCCGAGCCTTGATAGGATCTTCCCTCTGCCTTTGAAGAAAAATGCAAGTGGAAATGCCTTTCCCCAGTGTGGACTGTTGGCTCCACTCCCTGGGCAACTGACTCTCTTTGGGGGCTCAGTGAAGGCAGGGGGCTTCCGCTTCTGGTCCCCAGGGGTTGGCTTGTGGTCCTAGGAGGACCAGAGGCATATCCCATGGCAGCGGGGCAGGGGTGGGAGTCCCTCTGCCCCTCCTCCTGCGTCTTTCTCACCCAGCCCTACTGCCGTTCTGCCCCAGAAAACCAGCAGTATTTCGAGAAACACCGGTGGCCACCCGTCTGGTACCTAAAGGAGGAAGACCACTACCAGCGGGCCCGGAAGGAGCGTGAGAAGGAGGACTATCTGCACCTGAAGCGGCAGCCCAAGCGGCGCTGGCTGTTCTGGAATAGTCCGTCCTCGGCGTCCTCTTCGGCCGCCTCCTCAGCATCCCCATCCTCCTCCTCGGCTGTGGTCTGAGATGCTGCCGCCCTCTTCTGGCCCTGCTGCTGCTGTCCCCACGTGTCTCTGCCCCTCTGCTCCTCCGCATCGCCCCCTCCACCTCCCAGGGACAGAGGACTCGCATAACCAGGACCCTGTGGGTGGAGCTGCTCCCACCAGCCAACATAGCTCAGCACAGAGAAGAGGGAGCCTGGCCTCGTGGACCAGAGCAGTGGCCCTGTGCGGAGGTCCTGATTCCATGGCCACCCTGGGACAACTCCTGGGAGGCGGGCACTGGGGAGAGAGCTGAGGACCGTGGCATCTTGTCTGTGGGTCAGAGGACCCGAGCATCAAAGGGGAAACTCTCCTGCTGGGAAGCTGTGTGTCCTGGTCTGCGCAGGCAGCCCCCTCCCAGGGAGCAGCAGTGGGCAGGCAGGGTCCTACCTCTGTTGGCCCCACGTCTCCATCAATGGACTTAAAGGGTTGCAGAGGCTTTGTGGGCCTTTCCACGTGGAGCCTACTCAAATCCTCACTGGAGAAGTCAGGGTAGAAATTAAGCCTTCAGAGCCCAACTCCAGGCTTCCACCCCTGTGGTGCAGCTGCCAGAAGCCGCAAGTGGAAGGCTTGCCCTCTGCCGGCATTGCTTCCGGGGCTGTGGGCATCCAGGCCTGAGAAGGTGGCAGAGGTTGTTCAGAGCTGCAGCCCTGGAAGCAGCGCTTCTTGGTGCAATGAGAAACTTCTCTTTCCCCCCATCCTTTACCGCTCAGGTTTGGAGATGGAAATCCAAGGAAGCGCTGGAACAGGGGGAGAGAAAGTAGAGGGTGATGGGACCTGAGTACAGCAATCCCATGCTCCTTTGGGCTCCTCCCCCCACCCGCTGCTGGCCAGCACAGCTTCTTATGGGGAGAGGGTAAATTTTGCAAAAAAATGCATACAATAATGAACAAAATCACCACCGACAAAAACATTGTGGCCTCTGTCCCCTCAAAGGAAGAAAAGCAGAAAAAGACCCTGGATGGCTCTCATTTTTATAAAGCCAAGCAGGGGTCCCCATGTGGATGAGGCATTGGTCGAGGTGGTAGAATTGACTCCGATGCTTTTCAGGAAAGCAGTGTCACCGGCTGTGACCGAGGACGTCCTAGCCCCGCTGACTGACTCTGGAGGGCACGGTGCACACCTTCAGCATGCTGGGGATGAGGTTGCAGGGGTGGGGAGGGTGGGCTCGGGAATCACCATGGTGTTGGACCCATCACGAGAATCAGACTGTTCTCAAATTCAGCAAGTAACTCCATAGGATATGACCGTGTTGAAGGGGTGGGATGTGGTAGGAGTCAAAGGTCAGGGAAAAGGGCACTGACATGGAGAATAGGAGTCCTTGTAAAGAAGGATTGTAATGAAGCATGTGACCTTACTCAGTGCTGGTTGGTGATAACAGGGAAGAATGGGGGAATTGAACAGGAGCAAAACCAAGGTGAGTCCAGAGAAGAGGAGGGAGGAGACTGGAGGATGGTGGAGGATTAAGACAGTATCTTGCAGCCCCATGGGGGAAAGCTGGGCCACAACTGACCCTCTTCCCCTTTTCTAATTCTGATTTATATCTCACTCCACACACCCTTGTTAGATTCAGAACAGAGTCCCTCTGATGAAGGTGGAGCCAGAGAGACTGAGCTCCTGTCCTCAGCACTCAGGAGTCATCTCATCTAAGAAAGATGCTTTAGGGAGAGGAACTGGGTTTTGGTCCCAGGGCCCGGTGTGGGGGGCTCCACCCCCAATAATCTGGCATAGAGCAACCCCCCCCCCCAAATGGAACCTCTGCATCAATTTTGTGGTGCCAAGACCTAGAGATTTGAGGTCAAGGTCTTGTCAAGAGAAGGAGCAGGAGGTGGCAGGTCAAGTGCGTCTTGAGTGGCTGTGACCCATGGTGTCCGAGCCCTAGACTTCAAGGCCATGGCTGCCTCCCCTCCAAGTCCTCCAGGTGGCAGGCTTGGAAACCAGACATGTGCTGCCCTCTACTGGCTGATCAGCTCACTTCTGCTGCGTTCAGGGTGAGGCTGAGATGAAGGGGACAGAAGGGGAGCCTCCGAGGTGAGGTGTGCTACTCTGCACCGGCACCTTCACTCTGGGAAGGGTGTAGGAGGCCATGGGGGCCTCCCAAGAACTCCAGGGGGATGGGAGAGCCAGGACCTGAAGTCCAACGGCAGGGCAACTAGGTCTTCATGAGGTTGCAGGCCTGAGTCATCTAGCCCACTGATGAGGATGCAGAAAGGCCAGCAGGGACCAAAAGGAAGATGGCTCAGGAGTGGTGGGAGGCTCACCAGTGAGAGGCCACAGAGGGATCCCAGCAAGCAGGGTCTCACCACCCCTTCCCAATTGCTCTGTCAGAGCCAGTCCATACCTCCAGGGAGCCCAGCAAGCCCAGGTGGGACTTAGAGAGATACCAGCTGCGGAGGCTGTGGGGGACCTGGGCCAGCCCAGTCAGGGAAAGGGCAGGGAGGAGAGGGATAGAGGAGGGGCTGAATTTCAGTCCCTGAGGAACCTGGTGCCCAGAAGTCTAGAGAGTCAGAGCAGGAGACACATTCATGCAGGGCAAGCTTGAGCCTGAGGCATAAAAGCAAGAAGGAAGGAGTGGGTCACACAGCAAGAACACACACTCCTGCACCCGTGACACTCAGAACTACTCTAGAGGAGAACAGGAGGATGGGGGAGAAAAAACACACGCCTCTTTTTATATAAAATTGCATATTTAATTTGGTCATGAATTCATAAACACATGAGTATTTTGTACCTAATGGCCTTTCTTGTACTGTTTGATATTTACAACAAACTCTTCTAAGGTGAGAACTTCCAATGGAGAGAAGAATGAAAAGATAAACAACCACTAGTGAAACAATTAAGTGCCTATCATGGGTCAGGTGCTCTTTGGATTGGATATAAAACAAGGCAACTTCATGCTCTCATCAAGCTTACCTTAAATAAACGTGACGAATACTGACAAGGCTAATAAACTTTAGATGGGCACTAAGGAAGTCCTCTGAGAAAGGGATAAGTGACCTGACACTTGATTGACAAGAATTCATTTCTGTCTTCCTCTGAAGATGACGGCAGAGTGTCCTCCACAAAAGGAACAGCAAAAGCAAGAAACCCGTGACTTCCGGGGAACGGAGGGGCAGTAGGGCAGGACCTCTGAAAGGGGAGAGGAAAGGGCTATTGCACCAAGCCCACTGAGGTAGGACCCCTATCAAACTTCACTGGAACACCACACCCTGAATGTCCCTAAATACTCAGTCAGTTCTAGTTTGGGTCCAGCCATGCCAGGTTTGGGCACACACAGTTTTGAGATGGAAAAGATAAACTGAGGAGTGCTATTTTATAACATCATCCTGCCATGACTGGAATACTATAGAGATAGGTATGGTGGAAGGAGGGCTGAAGTGCTTACGAGGTATTTTTAAAAGTAAGAGGAAGTGATCTGCCCTCCCTGGACTGAGGGTGCTGCAGTGCATCTTCCACACCAAGAGTGGTCAAGCAAGAAAACCTCCCGCTAAGAACTGGGAAGGGCAAATGGAGGAGGGGCCAGAGACGGGGAGGAGACACCAGGAGAGGCCCCCTTGAATGTCTTTATTCTGAAATCAAGATCACAATACAGAGACTGGGCAAGATGGCAGAGCAGAAAGACCCTGAGCTTGGGTCCTCTCATGGGCAGCCCAAATTACAACTATTTGCAGAACAAGCACTGATAAAAAAGACAGGAACCTACCAGCAAACAGTTGTATGTCTACAACTAAAGACATAAAGCAGGAACCGCACTGAGATGGTTGGAGTGGGCAGACAAACTATCAAAGTACCATACTCCTGGGTGGACAACCCACAAAGTAGAGAATTATATTGCAGGGTTTTTCCACAGGAGAGTTCTGAGCCCCAGTTGGGCTCTCTAGCCCAGGCATCCTGCATCAGCAAGATGAACCCCCAGAGCATTTGGCTTTGAAGGCAAGCAGGGTCCTAATTTTGTGTGTCCCACAGGACCGGAGGAAAGAGACTTCAGTCTTAAACAGCACACACATGCACTGGACCTAGGGCAAAAGTGGTCACGTGATGGAAACCTGGGTTAGCGCTACCTGCTGGTCTTAAAGAGTGTCCCAGAGAGGCAGTGGGTGGGTGCGGCTCAGGCTGTGGATATAGACACTGGTAACAGCTATACTTTTCACACTGTCCATGGGATTCTCATGGCAAGAATACTGGAGTGGGTTGCCATTTCCTTTTCCAGTGAATCATGTTTTGTCAGAACTCTTCACCATGACCCACCCATCTTGGGTGGCACTGCACAGCATAGCTTGTAGCTTCATTGAATTATGGAAGCCCCTTTGCCCACAACAAGACTGCGATCCATAACGGGGATTGACAGAGGAGGCTGGCAGGCTAGTCTATGGGGTCACAAAGAGTTGGACACAACTTAGCAACTGGACAATAACAGTCATACTTGGAAGCTGCTTCTATTGGTGGACATGGGTGCTGATAGGCACTATTGTGTGATTTTCCCTGTAGCTCATTAGCCCCAATAGCTAAAGAGTTGGGTGGGGTTGATCAGCCCCACCCAACAGCCTGTAGGCACCAGTGCTGGGATGTTGTTATTGTTGTTCAGTAGCTAAGTCAAGTCTAACGCTTTGCAGCTTGCAAATGGACTACAGCATGCCAGGCTTCCCTGTCCTTCACTATCTCCCAGAATTTGTTCAAACTCATGTCCATTGAGTCAATGATGCCATTCAACCATTTCACTCTCTGTTTCCCCCTTCTCCTCCTGCACTCAATCTTTCCTAGCATCAGGGTCTTTTCCAATAAGTCAGCTCTTTGCATCAGTTCGCCAAAGTACTGGAGCTTCAGCTTCAGCATCAGTCTTTCCAATGAATATTCAGGGTTGGTTTCCTTTAGGATTGACTGGTTTGATCTCCTTGCTGTCCAATGGACACTCAAGAGTCTTCTCCAGCACCACAGTTCAAAAGCATCAATTCTCAGCCTTCTTTTTGGTCCAACTCTCACATCTG